AATGTTTTGTTTCTTTAAGTAAGATTCTACTAAACCTGAGATAAAAAGTCAACTAAATATTTACTTGTATTAAACAAACCATCAGTTTAAAAAGTCAAATAAACCCAAGTTTTCCACTAAATAAATATCTTCTTGTATCATATCGAAATAAATAATTTATTTGAGTCAAGACAGATATAGTAAAATCAAGATATTACTTTTCTCTGTGTGGTATGTTATATGAAATATGCTTAGAATTTTACAAGGAATCGAAAAATAAATACATATATAGGGTGATCCATTGAAAAAAAATAAACTTTTTGTTTTTCCCTGTTTACTGAACAATTTTCCAATTTTCTTTATAAAGGCCGTATTACAGCCGGAAATTCTTCTTGCAGCAATTTTTCTTGCAGCAATTTTTCTTGCCATCAAGTTTTCAAGGCCGTATTGCATGTTGTTTTACAGTCAGCAATGGCAAGACAACTTGCTGTTTATTACCGTGCTACCAACCGAAGAAAAATATACGATTTTGTTATTTAGTAGAGATATTTAAAAATTTATTTATTTATTTATTTATTGCTTAAACGGGAAAACCCCATTACAGTATAAACATTACATATAAAGGTTGTGTCTTGCAAAGAAGACAATTACAGTTAATCACTAAATTAAAAATAAGTAACAAATTCTTTAAACAGATAATTAACATTAATAATAAAAAAAATAACAATTCATTTATACAATAGTTAACAATAATAATAACAAATACTAATTATAGGTATATCACTAAGTTAACAAATAATATTCAAATAGAGATCCACAAGTTAAATTAATTCGATTAAAGCTCTCTTAAAGGAACGAAAAGAACCCCTAAATACATCCAGCCTTTCCTCCCTATTTAAAAAATTCAAAGACCTCTCCAAAAAAAAAATGTTTACCAAAATTGGTCCTATGATTACTTATAAAAAATAAATTATTGTGTCTTAGTATTCTTTGTGGTGTAGTAAATTTAATTTGAGAGAGTAGAAATGGACTAGATATTATACCATTTAATAATTTAAAAAGAACACATTATTATGTCGAACATAGTTCGTCTCTTTTCCAAAGAACATAAATCAAAATGAACTAATATATCAGAATAATCATGGTCAGCAATAATATTAAGGTTAAATTTAAAATTGCAGTATCTCAAAAACTTGTGTTGAACTCTTTCCAGCAAATCCTTATACACATTGTATTGTGGAGACCAGATAACTGAACCATATTCAAGTTGAGATCTAACCAACCCTACAAATACCGATCTCACTGCATCTATAGACAGACCTTGACAATTCCTCAATGTAAATCCCAACATTCTGCTAGCTTTCATAACTAGTTGATGTATGTGGTTGGAGAAACTTAAACGAGAGTCAAACAGTATTCCTAGATCCATGGCCTCTTCCATTCTACACAATTGTTGCCCATTTATGGAATAAAAAGTATTAATTCTCCTTTTTTTCTTGCAAAACAAAATATGAAAACACTTATTGATATTTAAATTTAACAAATTTTGCTCACACCAAGTTGAGAGACTATCAAGATCCCTTTGAACCAAGCTAACATCCAGATCACTACCCACTATCCGAAACAACTTAAGATCATCCGCAAACATTAGAAACTCACAGTTCTTAATGTGATTTTTGAGGTCATTAACAAATAGGTTAAATAATAAGGGAGAGCAATGTCCCCCTTGGGGAACACCAGAGCTGACTTTGATCGCCTTGGACAAAAATTACCAATTTTAACTCTTTGACTTCTATCACTGAGGAAACCAAGCAACCAACTGGCTAACCTATCCGAAAAGCCTAAATTACTTAACTTCCCTATCAGCAGAAGGTGGTTTACCCTATCAAACGCCTTGGAGAGTATAAACTGCATCAACCTGATTTCCACTTTCCAACGCGTCTGATAGCTTACAATGATACTCGAGCAAGTTGGTTACTGTGAATTTCCCAGCCCTGAAGCCATGCTGTTCATCAATAACAATTCCCTTGCAGTGCCAGCTTAAGTGACTAAACATCAAGCTGTCACACACCTTAGGAATTGAAGACTGTATAGAGACACTACGATAATTTTTAACATCTTCCCTTGATCCAGATTTAAATATAGGAGAAATATAGCTCTCTTTCCATATCTCTGGGAAGATACCAGTAGACAGAGACAAATTAAAGAGTTTGCACAAAAATTGAGACAGAGCATATCTGCATTGTCTTAGTACTATATTAGGAATGCCATCTGGACCAACCAAAAGCTTGTTAGGGAGAAAACCTAACTTATCAAAAACCTGAGAAACTCCAAAGACAAGACAATCAATATGACTCTGGCTATAAGATATATCAGGAGGTGTTCCATTTTCATCAGAGTAAACTGTAGAAAAGTGATTAGCGAATAGGTCAACAATTTTTTGCCCATTAGTAGCAGCTAAATTGTTGAGGACCATATTTTTTGGAATATTATTAGATGTTCTATTTTTATTTATATATTTCCAGAAGTTCTTAGGGTTACTAGTGAGATCGCTACTTGTAGAGTTTAGATGATTCTTATAACATTCACTGACTAACCTTTTACACTGGGCTCTCACCACACTAAATTCATAGTAATCCCTTGCATCCCGTGACAACTGGTATTTTTTATGTTTATTTTTCTTAAGCAAGATCAACTTTTTTAGTTCACTAGAAAAATAAGGAGGAAAGCTAGACGTTATAAATTTTTTAACTGGAATAAAACATTCTATACCAAAATTTAAAATACTATAGAATTTAGTTGTGACAGTGTTAATGTCACCGTCAGCCAAAATACTATCCCAATCTACTGAAAATAAATAATCGTTGAATCCCTGATAATTCCCATTTTTAAAATCAAAATAAAATTCTTCAACTTTAAGAGAGTTTAACTTTTCACTTAACACATTAAAGCTACAGATATACGATATATGATGAATAGAGTCACGAAATATATTATAACTACCACAACTCAATTCCTCAGAAAATATTTCCTCACACAGCCAACTTTCGGTAATAACAATAATGTCATAATTTGTACAACTAACTGCAACTTTTAATTCTGCCAATTTCGTGCGAAGTCCCCCAGCATTTTGATAGTACAACTGTAACGGGGTAGAAACTAGTTTTTTTTCTTAGTAGTAGTTTCTCCATCATTTTTTACAACCCTGGGACAACCATTAAAGTACCGAATAACATACCCCTTCTCATCCTTACTATTCTTTGCTTCGAGCTCAGTTAACACTTTTTTAAATTGCTCTCTCTGTAGAACAGATTTTACCCTGTAGTCAGATTGTAACAATTTATTCTTTACTTTCAATACCTTTTTAACAAGAGATGAATCTGAGCAAATAATTTTTAGAGGCCTACAACTTGTAGGCTACAAGAGCCATCCTTCTTTTTACCTAATCGAATAACTTTTTCAATCTTATTTACACCTTCCAATTCTTGAATGTTTAAGGTATTAAACACTTCTTGAACTATTCTCTTATCGTCATTTATTCTCTCATTTAACTCATTGCTACCTGACTCTTTTGCATTATATATTATAAAGTTATTAGATCTACTCATTCTATCCTGTACCTCATTAAACACTTGTTCCGCATTCAACTCCCCACTTTCAAAGCTACATTTATGTATATCTTCAAGCTCCAATATTTTGTTGGATAAGATTTGGTTATGATTTTTTAATTCAGTAATAAATTAATGAGTGAAATGGATACTACATAGAACTTTGAACACAATGGCAATCATAAAACAAATAACCTTAAACTGTTTAAGTCAAACAGTGTCTCTCTAGGGAATTTGTAGTAGGGTTGGTAACATAAAAGTTACCAGATTTCACCCCAGAATTGCCGTAAAACGGCAATAAAAATCCATCCGGACCGATTTTCGGCAATTGCAAGAGATTCGTCTAAATGTATATACCGCGCATGCCTACGGCAATTTTCATTGCAATTGCCGAAAGAATTGCCGGCTGTAATACGGCCTTAAGTAGAAAAAAGTATTTTGTAGTACCTACATAACCACTTGGGACACTTAAAATAAAAAAGTTAAAGGGGGGCGACATTATAGGGGATCACCCTGTACAAGAAATAGGACAAAACCAGGAAGCATAATATGACCTTTAAGGACAGCCCTTAACAGAAACTCAAGAAATTAAAATAAAATTTGAAAAACAAAATTAATCAAATTAATCTTTTTGCATTGTGCAGGAAATGTGCCAAGACGATCTTCAAGCCCATAAAAGAAACTCAAACTTCAGCATACTGCTGATGATGAAATGGCCCGGGATTGAAACATCCCAAAAGCATTAGAAAACTAGCCTATACCAACCATAATATAATATTTTTTACAAGTTTAGTTTGTTTTATTTAATGTTGGCTTCCTGGTGGCCAGTTTGGGTTTTTATTTGGCAACTAAACCTAAGTTGCAATTATTTGTAAATACGATTTTGTAATAAATAAATTTGGAAAAAATATGTTGTTTACATTTTTCTTGCAATGTTAATGTTGTAACTTGACACTTCCTATCATTCTTTATATTTGCTTTATAAGAGGATATTTTATGTTATTGAAAACATTTGACTTATAAATGGCTTTAAAACGAGATATTTTATTTGAAAACCCATTATTTAAAACATTTAACCCAAAAACTAAAATTAAATTTGTTTGGCACTTTTTTATATATTTTATTTAAAAAACCATATTAAATAGTTATTTTTCATTAATAATTTTTTTTTTAAATGTTAATATTGTGACTTCGATCGTTTTTTACGTGTGATCTTTAAATTATTCGACAATTTAATCTAAAAATCGAATGATTTGATAGAAATTTGGTTGAATTTCATAAGGGAATAATATTTAATTTGAAAATATCATTTAAATTCAAAGGCGAACTAAGATGGCGGTAACTGGGTGGTGAGCAAAGTGAACCAAAATTCGTCCAACTGACGAACATACCTTTTCTCTCCCATCAACTTACCGGTGTATCTTTTAAGGTTATGCAGAGCGCGGCACAGCCGACTTAGTTCTTCGGGTTTGGCGCGCTGCTGGTTCAATATAGTTTTGAGATCGTGCTCGGACTTCTCTTGCAGTTCCTCTACCGAAGAGATCTTTCGGCAGATGCCCTGGATCGAGTCCTTGCTCAGTCCCACCACTTGCAGCCATTGCGTCAAAGACGGCATGTGCGGATCTGATCCATTTTTTAGCTTCGATTTCGTTACTATCTGGTCGGAGAATAGCTTCAGCAGCTTGCCCTGAATCAAGGAAATAATCTTAAAGTATATGTGCACTTTTAGCACTTTTTAAAATTATCATTCCAAATTTCATGTTGGCAACTTAAGAAACACCAAAATATGGCAGTTTTAAACTTTTATTTTGCAATAAAAAACAAATTAACTATTTAAATTGTTACTTATTTACTTTTTATGTTGTTTTAAGTTTTTAATGATACAACAAACAAATTTTTATTTTTACCACATTGGCACCGCTGAATTTCCTGTAACGGCCTACTATTATTTATTTATCAAACTACTACCTTCAATGTTATTTATTAAGCTAAGATATTTTAAAATGATTTTTTCCACTCCCACCTTTAAAACGCCCTTTATTGTACATAGATCCATTACACTAAGTGACCTTTTAAATACACATTGACAAGTTGTGGCTTTATGACGCTTTAGTCACGGGCTGAAGTTAGCAACAGGTTTTTAGTCACGGGCTGAAGTTAGTTTTAAGTTAGTTGACAGTTGTCAAATGTCATACAATCGTTAAAATAAAGTGCCTTTCTTGTAAAATAATACTAAATGTGAAAATTATTTTATTATCTCAATACAAAAGTATTAAATAGTTTCTCAACGCCAATATTTAAAAAGTTTATATGAACATTGTACTGACCTTTTAATTTCACCGGCAGTAAACTATAACTTAAATTCTGGCACGGACTCCACTGTAAAGTCCTCATAAAATATTTTCTTTACTTTCACTGTGAAAAACTGTCAATTTTCAAAAAATACATTTCGATTTATAACCTTTATAATTGTGTTAATAAAATTTAAAAATTTGACGGTGACACACAGATTCCAGATTCAATTTTCAAGAAATACAGTTCCATTTATAACCTTTATAATCTGTGTTTATAAACTACAAAAATGTGACATTTGACGGTGACACACAGATTCCCTTATTGTTTCATAGATGGCGCTCTATACAAATTTTTGATTTAAATCATTTTAAGATAATAATAAGTATTTGTCGTAGAAAAAGTATAGTATGCACCTCGTTTATAAACTTTTCTATACACTCATTAATTTAAGCACTCGCTCGCCAGCTCGCTCGTGCCTAAATTCGTGTATAAAATGGCGTTTATCAAACTTGATACATAATATACTATTTTTTATTATAAAATGCCCGCTTAAACTTGCTTAAAAAGTCAAAAACCGCACGTATGTCTGCCGTATATGTGCATATATTAAGTTAGTACGTTCCAAATGAACTATATCGATAGGCCTTTTTGGTTTTGATAAAATAAACACATTTTAAGGAGGAAAAGAAACTGGGTATTCTGAAAAAGGTTAGACAGTTACAGTGTAACTTTAGTAATAGATCTGTTACTTTTAGCGAAAATATACTATTAAAGTGCAGTTCCTTTTTTTTTATTTGGACTCGGGTTTTTTATTAAGTTGGTAGCTTATGCCAGTTTGATTTAGTATTTTTAGTATTTAAAGTCTGGTATTTCTGCTGAAGATCTTAATTTAATACTCTGACACTGTCAAATTGACAGTAATATTTATTATTGATTATTTCCCTCAATATAATATGCCTTGAATTTTCGAATAAATTTCGTTTAAATAAGCGATTAAATAACTAGACCTTTTTAACAGCGATTAAATTTTAGCCTCCATATTGGATTTTTGTTTACGATTTTATGGTGTTATTTACAAGTTTTAACAAACATTTTTTAAAAAACAATAAAAAATAAGTTATCTAGTTTACGAAATATCAATTATTACTTATTACATACCTTAAATTAATGGAATTTTCTTTAAAAAAATATTTATAATCTTTGACACATACGTCAGATTTTATGAATTGTCAAATAGTTTCATTTAATTCGAGAAATAATCTAGACGTATATCACTCAACCTATAAATTTAATCTGTCAAACTATGCTCAGTAAGTTTTTTATTTGATTTTTCTTTTTGGAAAATAGTTTCATGCAAAATAATTAAAAATAAAACCCCTCGACCGCTATAGCTGAAAAAAATTATTACATTTAAATGTAAAGTTACAGGATTATTACCACATAAATTCCTTATTTTTACGACAAATTGTAAAATTACCTTTATTTTCGTTTAATTTTTATATATTTCAAGTAAATAAACATTTTTGTTTGTAAAATTACTAATGTTATGTATTAATTATTGATACAACAAGTAAATTTAACGAACTAAATGTAAAAAATACAATTATAACTTCTTACTGCATTATTTCAAATGTAAATATACTTTATTAGTCTTAATATTACAGGTTTAAATGTTATTTTACATTCGGAGTGTAGTAAAGATCGCAAAATTACATTTCATATGTAACCGGAGAAGAAGCCAATTGGCTGGGAATCGGCATGTTAATGTTATCATGTAAAAATACATTTCATATAAAAAACATATTACATTAAAAATGTTATTTTACATAAAAAATATAAATGAGTAACACGTCAATTATGCTATTACATTTTGCATGTAAAATAATAATGAAATGGAATATTTCAGTTATCAACAAGGCATCAAAATAACCAATCTCCATTACCGGAAATTTACATGATTTTTTTTTCAGTGTACGCGGTCTCGTGATTTTATTAAGTTATTTTGCATTCAACATTTTCCAACAAAAACCAAACAAAAAACTACTGAGCCTAGTTTACCCGATTAAATTCATAGTTCTCGTGATATAATATATGATTATTTACTTGTTAATTTTTATATAATATCGATATAAACAGATTACTATGCTAAAAAGATTCTGAAGTAAACGAACTTTTAAGTGCAAAACTTCATTTCGATGAATGGCAGAAAAAGTATGGACATTTTTGGAGTAAAAAAGTATTTACAAATATTAAATCACACATTATTTTCAGCTAAGCAGATTAAAAATTTATGAAAATTAAAAAAAAGAAATCAATGAAAAAATAACGATTTGTTAATAAAAATTATTTGCTGTTGTAAATAATAATTATTTGCTGTTGCTGTTGGTTCAAGTTGAAGTGTTACCAGTCTTACAATTGTAACAGATCTGTTACCTTTTAGGGAATGTTATTGCCATTTTACCTTTTTAAAAAATCTGTTACCTTTTGTTCACTAGAAAAAAATTTAATATTTTTTATTTTAAATATTTTTAAAAAGAACCTTACATATAAAAGAATATGTAATGATAAATAATTACAGTTTCCTATTTTTTTGTAAATGTTTTCATTATCCTGTTCTTCTTTATCTTTGGTAATCATAACGTAAGTAGGTGAGATTCTGCTTTGGTGCGGGTAGTTGTGTGCAAATTGATCGACAGCAAGGTATTTACAAACTTAACTTTATTACACTACATATATACACAATATACAATGCAATACACATATATACATAAACAGAATTATAATTTAAATGTGTTGTCACCCGGAGCCGATGTACTCAAAACGGGGAGGCAGTACGTTGTATCGGGTGATAGACCAAGACCTTTTCCAAGAGCCCTTTGGTCACCCACCCCTAATCGTGGTAGGGGATAGGTAGGAAACATTTGGAAAAATTAAAGCGCATCTATAAAAAGGTAATAAAAATAAAATTAAATAAATTACTTTGGGTAAAGGAACCGAAGAGGTAAGTAAGCAATAGTAAAGGATGTTTACCGATGTTAGGAAACTCCAATGTTCAAGGCTCCAGGTAACAAACACGCTCTATGCAATATACTATTTACAACCTACTACCTGAACAATTTAAACATAGCAATCAATTAATAAAAATTATTATAAAAATCACTTAAATTGTACTTAAATTGTATGACAGACAAGAGTGGGAAATCCAGTCCCCACATCACTCCCCTGCCAGTGATGAAGATCACGAGAGTCCGGATTGGAAGCGATCGGGAAACCGAACCTGTCTGCCCGATCTCGTCTGCCGATGAATTCTGGTGGTTGTGTTTCCCGAACCAGCCGAGCCGCGTGCTGGTGGGACGTCTGGTGCGTTAAGCGCTGCTGGTGGCTCGGGTTGTGGGTCAGGCTTTAACGGAGCTGTGGTAATGACGCATCCGCCAAGTTGTTCTGGCTCTTGTTCGGGTTGTTCCATGTTGTCAAGTATTGTGTATGCCGGTTTTAGCCGATCAATTGAAATTGTAATGTTCTTGCCCTTGACGTTCACTATGAAGAACTTGTCAGAACGGCTAACAACTCGGTACGGCCCATCGTATGGATGTTGGAGAGGTCTTTTAGGGCCGTCGCACAGAGGTCATTTTATTTTTTGTAGGAATTAATAAATAAAAAAAGCAACTTTCTTAAATAGGTTCCTGTATACATTAACTCACCCTTAAATTTCAATTTTTATTGTAAATTTATGTCATAAATGAATATAATACACTATTTTAGGCATATTTAGGTGCGGAAAAACCAAACTTTCGCTAAAATATATGTTTATAGTGTTAAATTCAACAAACTTTGCTTAAAACTGTCACCTTTTCTATGTACTACACTGAATTTTAATCTGTCATAATTTCCAATGACAAAGCTATTTCTTGCAATGTTGCCAAGTTTAGAAATGGTAAAATTATTATTATTTTTTGATTTAAAATTAAATATTTATTGTACCAAAACAAAAGAAATGTATGTAAAAACTTTAATTAAATATTATTATTTAGTAAGTATGCACAATATTTTTGGTATTTACGAAAATAATGATATGTATCTTTGTAAATTGTAGGTAGGCAACCCAGATTGAAATTTATTTAAATTTAAGATAATAATATTATTAAATATTATTTTAAATTGAATTGATTGAATTTGAATTATAATATTTTATTAAATAATAATCAAATACCAATTAATGTATCTACTTAATTAAACAATTAAATTCTGTTAAAATTTACTTTTGCATTTTATTTAATGGCATGATTTGCAAATTTTGTTTCTTTTGTTTTAAAACAAAATTTGTTATTTTAGTTGTCATTTAATTGATAAAGTGTCAATTGTGATTTATTTTTGCTGTTTGCGTATTTGTTA